CACCCCCGCCTTCTTTTCTTCCTCCCCGGTGGGCCCCGCGCCGGCGTTGACTTGTCCCACGAACGTAGCATAAGGCAATTCTTCCGTCTCCTTGTTAATCGACACGTTCCTCATGCAGCCGACGAATCTTTCTGCCACACCATTACCGCGCCGCTGCATTATACGAGGCTGCGTGCCCAAGAACAGCGGGTGTTTCGTGTCCGTCGAGGTGGCGCCGATTTTGCCGGACACTGGGTTGGTGGAGGTCCCGTCGACGATAAGGATGGCGATGATCTTGTTCTTGATCACTAAAAGAAAAGGCGTACATGACATCAAGGAGATATCAATACGACAGACACATACGTGCGTAAAATTATAAATACAGCATACACACAGAGGAAGAAGAATAAAGTCTACATTGCATTAGAATATAAACAGTGAACTGCCACTTGTCAAACCGTCACCCAGCCCCCCCCCCCCCTCCGAAGGCCGGACGCCGCCCTTACCTTGGATCGTGTGCCACTTCCCGTCGCAGATCGTCCACGGCGACGACGGAGTGTACCTGTTCACGATCTCGCCCTTGCCGTTGTCCACCGTGAGCTCCACGCTACCGTTCCTCAGCTGCAACAGCACGAAGTCTCGCCGCCCGTGCACGGACATAATCACGCCGTTGTTCTTTCTCGGCTTGATGTCCATCTTCATCTCGAACACGCGGCCCACACTGAAGCGCTGGCCTGCGGGGGGAGCGGAATGCACCAGAGGAATTAGAGGGAGAAAGGCTGATAAATAAATATGTAGGTAGACAGAAAAAACGATGGGTAAACAGGTAAATACATACTGACTGACTGACTGACTGACTGACTGACTGACTGACTGACGAAATGACTACCAGACTAATTAACAGACTAGCTGGCTGGCTGACAAAAGCAATCTGCAGACGTAATGCGACCGCGGCCTTACGCAGGACGACGTGAGCCCGAGGCCCCTTGCCGAAGAAGATGCCCGGCTCCACGTTCTCCGAGCAGCGGTTGAGGCCGAAGGCTTGATGCGCTCCGCTCAGGCGCTGGTTGTTCATGCGCATGATTCGCAGGCAGCCGTTGAAGGAGAGGTCGGTCTCCTCCGTGTTGGCGCGGGCCTGGTCGGCGATCTCTGTGCTGAGGCCGCCGTAGAAGTAGGGAGGCTGCAGCGGGTCGGGGGGGGAGAGGATTAAAGCAGAATATAGGCTGTGCACGGACACACACAAGCAAACACACAGAACACTCAAACACACGCACACACACACACACACACACACACACACACACACACACACACACACACACACACACACACACACACGAAAATAAGCCCCATCATAACTAAGCCCTAAAACGAGCAAAATTCCTCGCCACACACATAACCCCAGAGCCGAAGCTCCATCGCCCTCGTCGACGTTACCTTCAGATCGATGAACTTGGAGTTGCCTTTGCTCGTGCCGTTCCCTTCCTGGTAGCCATCCACGTACAGGACCCCGAAGGCGTTGCTCCGCTCCAGCACTGCACTGTGCCACAAGCCGTCGTTGAAGGCCTTCTGCGAGCGCATCTGGACCGCCCCGTCGCCCGGGTTGAAGCGCATCACGATCTTGGGGGGGGAGAGAGGCGCCCGTGATGAGAGGGTCGAGGAAAGGCAGGATAGGTCAAGGGAAATCAAATTAGATGGATAAAACCTACGGGGAGAGAGAGAGAGAGAGAGAGAGAGAGAGAGAGAGAGAGAGAGAGAGAGAGAGAGAGAGAGAGAGAGAGAGAGAGAGAGAGAGAGAGAGAGAGAGAGAATATTAACAGACCGGCTGACTGACTGACAGAAAGACTAACCAACAGGCATAGAGGTAGACAGTCTAAAAAAAATTAAGACACAAAACCTACTTTCCCATCCTTCATGTATATAGCGATGACGTCACGATGAAGGTCGTCCGACGCATAGAAGATGACGCCTTCGGTGGCGCTCGTCTTGAAGTCAAACGAGAACTTGAAGTCCCCGCGAGCACTGCTGGGCAAGGTTTCGAACTCAATGCGGCTGGTTCGTCTGCTTCCTGTGGGCGTCAATTATGTACGATTAATTACATGTTTATACGAATCACAATTCAGATTTTTCTGGCTCTTCAGACTTAAGTTTGTAAACATACTGAGAGAAACCGAACCGATTGCGAAATATGTTTCAATATTGCAAATGTCATGCACTTTAAATAACAGGATGCCAACACAGAAACTGTCAAATGCAAGGTACGGAGCACAGCTTATAGTGCAGGTATATAAAACAAGCAATAAATATTGTTTTTGTTTAGCTAACTCAATCGTTTTTGTTTTTTTTTCGTTTCTTGACCATTCAACCCTTTACTTCGGACTTCTCCTATTCGATTATCTTGAAATGTCATTCATCGTTTACGTAGGAAGACAGTGCAATGAAGAATGCCGTCTCATGAATTGGACCTTTGTGATCAACAATCCAGAAGTCTATGAGAGAAAGAGATCAAGAGAGGAAGGGG